ATAGATATTACTGTAAGTCATACAAATATATATAAAAATGAATATAAAAATATAAATATATAAATAATTTATGCGAGTACACAAAGAAAAAACACGTAAAGTACGTACGATTGGTGTTAGCCGTTGTCTGATAGGTAAAAAAAAAAATAAATAAATAAACAAACAAACAAAGTAACACTTACAAGTAAGATGAAATTATTCGAGCGGCTGACGATGGTCGAGTATTTGAATGAAAAAAAAAAGAAAACACAAAAAAAACAATGTCCAATACTATGATGCACAATATATTATATTACATGACATACATAAAACGACTGCGACAAGTTCGAGTCACGATGTAAGAGCGCATGTCGAGTATAGCGTTGATGTTATTATTTAAATTAAAAAAAAATGAATAAAGACGAGTCGTGCAACGCCGAACGAAAAAATTAATCACTGTGTACTTTTATACCTTCCTTACATCCTCGTTAATGAATTTCCCACATTTTACATGAAACCCAAACTTTCGGGCTACACTTCAAGGATCGCCTGTACATTACACACGAGACACGCCCATAGCAGGGAAAACCCTTCGAAATAACACATCACGGCCAACAACGACCCTGGCAATCGATACAGAGGAATCAAGAAAGGAAGGAAAGGGAGGGACCGCTCTCTACGCATCAGCCCGGACTCCTATTTACGCCGAGGGCCGATCTAGATAAGGGGGCGATCGGTACAGATAAGCATCGCATTATTTATCGGGCGATCCACGCGCCCCCGCGCAGCTTTGATCGGAGCGAGCCTTTTGCCGACGCTGAGGGTGAAAAAAAAAAAAAAAAAACGTTTACTCGCTGCGCCCAAAGAGGTGGTTAACATTGTTTGCGACGATTACAGATCGTTAGCTGCATCATCGCCGCGACGTTCCACATCGGGGTCGGCCTCAGCATGGCGTATTCGGCGATTCTGGTGCCCAACTTGGAAAAAGATTCCTCGGAAATCCATGCCACGGAAGAGGAGACGTCGTACATTGGTAGGTTGAACGACTGGGAAAAAAAAAAAAAAAAAAAAAACAGCGAAAATGACAAAATTGAGCCAGCATTTCAACTTCATATTTTTTGTTTTTTTTTAATTCTCCACTTGTGCGCCGTGATTTTCAGTACTCATATACGTGCTTGTTGCAAACACCGCGCACAATTGGAGTAAAGTAAAGAAAAAAAAAAAAAAAAAAAAAAGAGGAAAATTGAAAATCCCCCTGTTGTTCCACAGCCAGCTTGGTGGTGATAGTCGCCCCGGTGGGTGCCTTCGTCAACAACTACCTGATGGAATCGTTTGGGCGTACGCGGGCCCTCCAGTTCGGGGTGCTGCCCTTCGTCGCCGGCTGGGTGATGATTGCCACGGCGCCCAACGTCCACACTATCATGGCCGGCCGTATGCTGGCCGGGTTGTCGACGGCCCTGGCCACCTCGCCGGCCATCGTCTACATAACCGAGGTCGCCCGGCCCGAGCTCCGCGGCTCGCTCATCTCGTTCGGCCCGACCCTCGCCTCCCTCGGCATGGTCCTGGCCTACCTCGAGGGCTTTCTCCTCCACTGGCGGATCGTCGCCTGGCTCAGCCTCGTTTTCGGCATCCTGCCCGTCTTCCTCGTCCAAATCTTCGTCCCCGAATCCCCGGTTTGGCTCGTGTCCAAGGGACGCTTCGAACAGGCCCGCAAATCCCTCGAAAGGTATACACACACATCTCCGCAATACGCGGTGTCCACCCATTTGTTGGTTATTGTTTTTTTTGTTTTTTTGTTTTTTGTTTTTTCCCAGGCTGTACCAGTCCAAGCCGTGCGCGGGCAAGGTGTCGGCGGCCGAGGCGGCGTACACGACGATCGTCAAGGAGAACGAGATAAAACTGAGCGAGCAGCGTCGCAGCAAGCACGGCGCAGGCAACGCGTCCAAGCTGCGTGCCCTGTTGCGCCCGACCGGCTGGAAGCCCATGCTCATCCTCTTCCTCCTATTCTCGTTCCAACAGTTCTCCGGGATCTACGTGACCCTGTTCTACGCGGTCACCTGGTTCGAGAGCGTGGATCCCCACCACAAGTTCTCCTACGTGGCCTCCGTCCTCGTCGGGCTCACCCGGTTCTTTTGCTCCATGGTCAACACCGTCCTCATGCGCCGGTTTCCCAGGCGCGTCCTTTGCATCGTCTCCTCGATCGGCATGGCCGTTTGCATGGCGGTGTCCGGCTACTTCACCATGATCATTGGCCCCCTCAAGGACCGGGATGTCCCGGTTCCCGCGTGGATGGGCTACGTCAGTCTATTTTCTCTCTCTTAAATTTACCTCGTTTGTACCCCCATACCTACTTACCTTTTATACGAATCAACAATAATGCTATACGTTTTACATGTAGATTGTCGTCGCGTGTCTCCTGCTCTACGTGTGCACGTCCATGATCGGTATGCTCACGATACCTTGGACCATGACGGCCGAGCTCTTTCCCACGGAAATCCGGGGAATGGCCCACTCCATCAGCTTCTCCATGGCCAACATACTCATGTTCATTGCCGTTCAGAATTACAGAAATTTGAAGAACTTCCTGGGAGGTAGGTATTTTTATTTTATATATA